TGGAGAACAATTTTTCTCAGGCTAATATCAATGCAATCCCTTTCATGAAGGGTAGAGGTCTCAAGACCCCTTTGCCACCTCTTAGCATGTCTTTGAGGAACAGAACTACAACTAAACCCAAATCACTTTGATGTTTTTGCTCTTTTGGAATGCTAGAGGAATAAAGAAGTCTTCCCCTAGACTTCAAACCCTTTCTTCTTCTCATAATCTCTCTTTTATTGCTATTATGGAACCCCTGCTAGATAATAACCAGTTGGAGGATTATAAGCATATGTTGGGTATGACCAATGCATCCAACCATCTGAATAATCAACTATGGATATTTTGGAAGGAACCAAGTCTAATTCTGATCCAAACAGTTGAATGCCCCCAAATACTGCCAATTCAACTCAGCTGCAATGCATGGCCCATTGTGGATTTCTTCTGTCTATGGCAGGCACACCAGGGCTGAAAGAACTGCATTATGGAATGCCATATCATATAGGGCCCCTAGCATACATCCATGGATCATTGGAGGAGATTTTAACTGCATCCACAGCCTTGACCAACACAAAGGGAACTGCAATCCTTGCAATAACTCAGTGGAGAATTTTAGAGAATGCATGGAAGCTGGCAATCTCCTTTACATCCATCCTTCAGGAGGACATTTTTCTTGGAGTGGGAAATGAAGCAATGGGAAGCTTTGGCGCAGACTGGACCATTTTTTTAGCAACCAACAGATGCTGGATAGGACTAGCAGTCTACAACTCTCTATGCTTAGTAAGGGAGCATCAGATCACAGGCCTTTTCTCCTGAATCTCTCTTTGGATACTTACTCTGGTCCCAAACCCTTCCGATTCTTGGACTTGTGGGTTTCACACCACACTTTAGAAGGCACCATCAGATCTTTTTGGGAGAACAATAAAACCTACAATGGAATGAAAGGCCTTGGGAGAAAACTCAAGGATCTCAAGGCCATTTTGTCCAAATGGAGAAAGGAGGAGTTTGGTAACATCTTCCATCAACTTAAGGAGGCAGAATCTAGAGCAAGTAGGGCACAAGACCATTTTGAGGCAAACCCAAACCCGGAATCTTTAGTTGAATTTAACAAGGCCAATGCTGAATTACTCTTTTTTTCCAAAAGAGAAACTGACTTTTGGAGGCAGAAGTCTTGCATCAGATGGTTAAAAGAGGGGGATGCAAGCACAAAATTATTTCATAATGTGGTTAAAAATAGGCGCTAGAAGCTTAGGATCTCCTCCATCAAGGATGATCTTGGCCTGAACATCGAGGGGGACAGTAACATTGCTTCACACGCAATTGATTACTACACCAAGATCTACTCTGAAGAATCAGTCAGTATTAACCCAGAACTGCTCTCATATATTCCTAAGAACATTAATGAAGGGGATAATCAAATGCTTTGTGCTGTTCCACAAGAGGAGGAAATAAGGGGGGCCATCTGGGACCTCAACTCCCATAGTGCACCAGGCCCAGATGGATACACTGGGACTTTTTTCAAAACCTTCTGGCACATAGTCCATGAAGAAGTGACTAGAGCAACCCAAGAGTTCTTCCTGGGTCTGCCCATTCTTAAATCCTACGGGGCCACTCTCCTCACTCTGATTCCTAAGATGGACAACCCTAAATCTTTGGGAGATTACAGGCCTATCTCTCTGTCCACTTTCCTCTCAAAAATCAACACTAAGATACTAGCCAATAGACTGGGTGCACTACTTCACAAACTCATCAGCCCTGAGCAAAGTGGGTTTCAACCAGGTAAAGGAGTGGAAGAAAACATCCTCCTTACCCAGGAGATGATCCACTGCCTTGACAACCCGTCTGGAAGTGCCAACATTGCTATTAAAGTGGACTTTGCAAAAGCGTTCGACAGAATTTCTTGGCAGTTCTTAGAGGTTACTCTAAACTCCTTTGGCTTTTCCTCACAGTCCTGCCATCTTCTCCTCTCCACACTCAAGGCCACCCATTTCTCCATTCTCATTAATGGATCTCCTCATGGGTTTTTCAAAATGAAGAGAGGGGTTAAGCAAGGTGACCCTCTCTCCCCCCTTCTCTTCATACTTGGAAATGAGGGTTTAAGTAGAATGATTAAGGGGAAGGTTGAGGAGGGTTACCTTAAAGCCATCCAAACAGGGAGAAGCCAACCACCCTCCCACCTTGCATATGCAGATGACATAATTTTTTTCCTAAATGGCCATTTCATAAACCTGATCAGATTCAAAGGGATTATTGACTGCTTTCTCAATTCATCAGGACACATGATCAATCTCAACAAAAGCCACTTCTACACTGGCCCAAGAGTGAAGCCAGAAATCAAAGCTAACATGCAAAGGGCACTTCAAATGGGAGAGGGCAAATTACCTCTAAATTACTTAGGGGCAACCATTGGAAAAGGTAAACTTAGGAAGGAAGATTGCAAGAAAATTGTCCAACATTTTGATGCCTATCTTAACACTTGGTATAGCAAGGTGCTAAACCAAATGGGGCGTTTGATTCTCATTAAGCATGTCCTCAGTTCTATACCTTTACACATTGTTGCTGTCCAGCAAATGCCCAAATCTATTCACAACATGTTGAACAAGAAGATGCAGAACTTTCTATGGGGATACAAAGAGGGAAGGCCTAAATATCATTGGGTATCTTGGAGAGGACTATGCTTCCCAAAACATGAGGGAGGTCTGGGCATTAGACACCTGGAAGATGTAGAAGCAGCATACTCAGCCAAACTTTGGTGGAAGATTAGGAACTCCCATGGCATTTGGGGAGAATACATGAGG